AATATACAACTATGTAACTGGAGGGCTTTGGGGAGAAGAAGAACCCAAAAAAAAGAAGATTGGCAGCAGATGTTAGCTCAGGTACCAATCTTTAAAAAAAATCTCAAAACCTTAAAAAGCATTTTATTTAACACTAAACATTTTCATATATCAAGAGAGAGACAACAGTAGATAACATTAGCAAAAGGAAGCTACTCTTACCTATCAAAAACAAAACAACTATTACAACTGCAAGTAGGAAAACCACCATATATGTACAGTCAAAGTTGCCAAGGAGAGAAAACACACATACACAGCCAAAGGACTGCTAATAGGATGTGAATATAACAAGATATTAGCACATAGGTAAATTACTAAGACTGCTTCCAGAACAAGGAAGACTGAAATATCCAAGAAATAAAATTACACAAAAAGCAAAATTCTCTTTAAAAGCCAACTAAAGATTTGGCAAAGAGAACACTTGATTCTGAAGCTCTTCCATCTTTAAGACATTAAAAAAAAATTTTTAAAGATTTATTTGCTGGAATATGTAAGAAACTGTCAACATCCCTCATTTTAACTTAATTATGATGAAAAGGAAAAGAAAATTTTTTTTTTAAAGACTGGCATCTGAGCTAACAACTATTGCCAATCTTTTTTTTTTTTTTCCTGCTTTTTCTCCCCAAATCCCCCCAGTACATAGTGGTATATTTTAGCTGTGGGTCCTTCTAGTTGTGGCACGTGGAATGCCGCCTCACCATGGCCTGATGAGTGGTGCCACATCCACACCCAGGATCCGAACCAGCGAAGCCCTGGGCTGCTGCAGCAGAGCATGCGAACTTAACCACTTGGCCACAGGGCCGGCCCCAGGAACAGAAATTTTTAAATGCAAAATTTGAGTTATCTTTAAATGATCCCACAAGATCATACATTCATGCTAACCTCTTAAGATGCACTTTGTGGAGATTCTATATAGCTAACGGAAACGTACATTACCCAAAGAATTACATCTGTTGATTCTCTACAGACATAAAGAAATCATATTCTGGATAGTGAGAATTGGTTACTTCACTTCTTTAAACTTTTCTGAACTTTTCAAACCACTACCAACACCATCAAAAAGTCAACAACACAACCAACAAAAAGAAAACTTACTTTTAGTTGATTTCTTTCTTTTCTAATAAAAAAATTCTAAAAATTATATGAAAGCCAGTAATGATACACTTATTAATGAAACTACACTCTGTCAGACAACAGAACTGATTTATCTTGCTTTTACTTTCAAACCCCAAGATAAAAGACAGATTTATTCAAAGCACAGTGCTGGGGGAAAAAAAAAAGTCAAATGTTCCTTGAGTCTACAACGACAGAAAAGTGAAGTTTGAAAGGCTGATTAAATCTTGAACCATGATCTCAAATATCATTCTGGAGCCATGATAAAAAAAAAAAAGGTTAAAAAACATGGTAATTACCACATAATTTTTCTGCCTTAAAGAACTACAGTTGATCTAAGCAGATTACTATAGCTCTTACTAGTGTAGTTTACTGGGATATTCAGGACAGGGACACACACTTTATTCTTAACACATTCCTTATAGATGAAACAGCCAAACAGATTTTCTTGACACCAAAAAAACCCACCAGAAGGTAATGGATTAGGAAAAATGTTTCTGGTATGAGAATAACGTTAGGTATTTCTTAACCAGCGTGCTGAAATAATCACTGCCTGCTTCACCACCTATCTCAGAAAATCAATATCTTTTTTCAGATCTCCAGAAAAAGAAAGCTCTGATCCTTTCCATCTACTTTTTCCACTGTTTGGATTCCACCTCTAGTTGCCTTGTGCTTTTGTTTGTACTTGAAATTCCAACGAGTCAGTCATTATCCTTAATTTCTACCATAAAGATAACCCAAGGTTGTCATTTCCCACAAATCAGCCAAATAACATGCAAAGTAATCAAAGGGACACCTTAAAATTAAAACAGTGACTGGCATATTTCTTATTCTCCTCACTCCCAAAAGCTCACAACTTAAAGACCATAAAGTAAAAGCATTCAGTAATAAAGCTACTAACAGGTAATCTTATGTCAATCAATATAAATCTAAAATCCTATTCCTTCTGAGAGAATCATACTTTCTTTTGTCAAGAGCCCATTTTCATTACCAAATTCAGCAGCACTGATAAAGCAGATTTTTAGTGTCTAACAGGAATAAGATAAATTCGTAAATGATAAACCAAAACAAGGAACATTTGGGGTGCATTCGTAAATATTACCTAGTATACTATTCTTTCACATTAGCATATAATGTGTCTGCTATAACACACATGTATTATAATGTGTAATATTGTACCTGGCATATAATAAGTGGCTATAAATGAGCTATTAAGACATCATGGAATCATGAAAGGCACTCACCCATTTAAAGTTTTAATTTAAGGAAAAAACATAAGATTTTTAGAACAAGGTGTTAAATGGCCTTATATTTGAGTGATAAATCTCTAAGTCTTTCTTTCCTTCTTTTCTCTATTTTCCAATCTTTCTCTAATTACTTTTTTTATGGTAACAAGCTTCATTAAAGACAAAAAGAAGAAACTGCTGAAGTCAGATCGCTAAAAATCTGCCTGCTAGTTGCCCTTGTGACCTTCCCGAATATAATATCCATCACCTCCTCTCATAAGTAATTTTCACTAACGCTTTTCCAAAATTCCCAGATTATTTTACTAGACACAGTCTAGAACATAAACACAGTAGCCAGGTACTGGCATACTCCATGCCAGAAAAAATTAAAAAATGACTTCTAGCTTTGATTCTGTTGAGGTTATTAATCTAGAGTCCTCAAAAGAAAGAATGGTTTGGCACTGTATTTACTTGAGAATTACTATCCTTGCCATTTATTAAACCATTCTTCCTTCTTCCCCCTTGAAAAATCCTCCTCACTCCCTTCTGCTTCTTCAAATCCACTGCTAGTAATTCTCTTACAGGTCTCTTTTCTATAAAGTCTTCCTGGACCCAACTAACCAACCACAAGCCTCACCTTCCTTTGAAATCTTGCTCCTCCAATCCATGCTGCACATCTAGAACTTGCTATATCTAGAGGTATTTGATTTATATACAATCTATTTTCTATATTCCATTATAAACTCCTTGAGGGTAAGGATCATATTCCTAAATCCTGGCACTACTAGAATGTCTTACATGAAGATGACGTACAAAATTAAAGTGCTCTTATAGTTTTCCAAATTCTTTTACAAACACTTGAACCTCACAACTACCCTGAGAGGAACAATGACTCCTACTATCCTATTTTACAAAAGGAGAAACAAATTCAGAAGCTAAATAATTTGTCATAGTTCTGTTCAATTAATCTTCAAGATTTATTTACAGTACTAAATACATGTAGCAAATCTAAGAAATTCCCTGAACAGAAGAGGTTTACAAACCTCTATAAAGTAGCAAATCCATGTACTTTATTGTTGCCAGGAAAACTACTAAATTAGGGACCTCAAGTTCAACTCTGCTCAATTATGCAAAACCTTGTCCTTGGAGCTCTTTATAAAGAAATAAAAAATTGCCAACATAGCAAATATGGCTCTATTACACCACTACCCACAACTTCTTAAAGTATATAAAATTTTAATAAAATACTATGGCTTCTGTTTAGTACAAAAGGGGATATTTCAGCTTCAAACCACAGTATTACAAAACTTGAAGTCAGAATGCATTTTGCAAGAGCCATGTGACACACACATGACAGTCAGCTAAACCGATGGGTGGACGGACCTCTTAGGGGAAACGCTTAGCAGTAAGTGACCAAAGCAGCAAATAAACTCAACTTTTAGGACAAATACTGATTTTATGCTTTAAAAAATTCCACGTCTCCCCCAAAATCTTCTGACACTGAAGAGGAATAACAATTAAATCTCCTCTAATTATTCATTAATTTATATACGCAAATTGTAGGAGGATTTTTTTAAAGGGCCATTAAGGAGAGCCCAACAAAGTCTTCCCAGGGAAAGTGAACCCCAGTTCCCAGGAAAGGTGCCAGGTGTGTCACATCTGCTGGGGTGACTTCTTGAGTAAGCAAGAAAAAGAAATGCATTAACTTTTCATGACAAGTCATGGAACCTCATTCCCTATCTGTAAGCACTCAAGTAGGTAATGCAAAACCTACAGATCTATCATGGGGTCCATTCGTTTCTCTTTCAACCTGACAGCAGTGTCTTCCCTTAATTTGGTAACACTGTCAGAAAGGTGTTCCTACGTCTTAGTTTTAGGTTTTCTTTTTTCTTGACCTACACAAGACAAAATGACTTTCGTGTCCTCTAAAAGAAAATTCTCACAAATGCCCAGGTTTTTAGCAAGGCACTGGGCCTGGCAAGTTCTTAAAGAACTCCAGGAAATAACTCAAAATGAGAACTAAACATTTTAAATCGCTTCTCACCATCTACTCATTCCCCTCAATCCCACGCAGTCCTGAAAAGCATCCATATTACCTGCAACCTGGCGGGGAGGATGCAAGGAGAGGGAGCCAACAGGCTCAGGATTTACAAGTAAAGCTGGTTTCCACCCAGCCGATTCTGACAGCTCCGCAGAGTGCGGGAGCAGGGACTGACAGTGCCCTCTAGGAGTGCTCTCCCACTCCCGCCCCTCCCCTTAAAAACAAGTCCTCCTTCAAAAGTCACTGCCTCCAGAAGCGGCCCCTTCCCACCACCCCACCGCCGACTCCCAAACGCCCCAACCCCCTCAGCAGACTGGTCCTCCGCCCCGGCCCCGCAGTCAGGCCCTCCAACCTGGCCCGGTCCAGGCCCGAGCAGCTCGCCCCTCCAGCCCGACCCCTCCCCCGGCCGCCCCTCCTCCGTCAGACAATGGGGCCCCACTCCCGGCCGCAGCCTCTCCTGCCCCATCACCCTCCCCTCACCGCGGCCGAGGCCGCTCCTCCCGCCCCAGCCCTCCTCGCCCCCTTTAAGCTTTCCCAAGCTGGCCCACCGACCCAGCCGACCGGCGCTCTCCTGCACTCACTATTCGGGATTCATGCTGGACATGTCACTGCAGCTGCCGCCGCCGCCGCCACCGCCGCCCTTGCTGCTGCAGCCGCCGCCCTGACTCTCCGCACCACGGGTAACCGAAGGAGAGGAATGAGATAGGCTGTTCGGGGAGAGCAAACGTCTTCCCCCACTCGGTCCCCTTAGAACACAATCAGCAGCCGCCGCCACTCAGCTATCGCTTCCACCCAAAATGGCCGCCGGCGAACCAGGAAATAGGAAAGCCTTGGACCGAGGGGGTCTTTACATAGCCCCGAGGGCGGCCGCACCGCGCGGCATGCCGGGAAAGAGAGTTGCGAGTGCGGCTGTGGCCGCTGAGACCGACGGTGTGGCGCGGCGGCCGGGACTCCACTTCCCGTCGAGCCCCGCGCCTCTGGCGCATGCGTACTTGAGGGGTTGTCGCCCGCCCCATTCCCCACTCTCTCGCCACCCCCTCCGCCCCTCCCAGTTCCCCTCCCCGCTGACTCGCTGGCTAGGACCTCGGTCGGACTCCCCCTAGCGGATTGGCTAAGGCCGAGCGGCCCTGGTGATGTCATCAGTGAGACGTGGCAGCCGGGCGAGTCAGCGCCCCACGGGGGAGGAGGGAAGGGAGGGGCAGAGGGCGGTGCCAGCCGCCGAGGGAGGGTGGGGGTGCGGGGCGATCAGGGGACTCCGAGGGTTGGGGAGAGACGCGTCGGTCCGGGAGGAGTCGCTGAGTGCCGAGGCCTGGAAGGAGGCGGGGTTGGAGGCCACTCCTGGCTGGTCCTGCCGCCCGTGGGGTTTTCAGCTTGAGGCTTGAGCTTCCCGGCTGGCCCCAGCATGTCCGCTCTGAGGACGGAAGGGGAGTCGAGGGGCCTCTGCTGAAAACTTCGGAGTTTCTGGAAAATACGAAGCCATTCTTTCAGTTCTCTTCCTCACTCACCCAACCCCACTAGGTCCAGTCATCGTCCAGTGTTGGCCGCAGGCACTACCATTTTCTTTTCTGTTTTTTTACCATTCTCTTTCCAGCCCTGCTCTTATCACCGCAGCCTGGTATTGCAGTAGGCTGACTGCCTCTTTTTCCTCTCTGCCCCAGGCCTTTTGCACACACAGCCAGATTTATCTTCCTGAAACAGAACTTTCATTGCGACCCCACAACTTTCAGTGTATCCACTTTCACAGCCCAGGGTCAGCCAAAACTTCGAGGTCTTCCTGTCCTGGTCCCAGCCTTCAAATTGAATTGTACTTATTTTTAGTTGATATTTAATGCTGAGCTGTTCTGCAGGATTGGAAAGTAATAAGCGATAGAAACACGCAATTCATCACTATATAATGCCTAGAAACTCTGGGAAAAGTAATATTAACAGAATGTTTTTTAAAACCTTATGGTCTTAACAGCTCTCTTTAATCAGCTCGGGAATGTAAATCTCCACTAAACTTTAACACATTATCTTGGGTTATTTAATTACAAAGGGCATAGTATAATACATTGTCCAAAGTTTATCTTCCAACTTGTTCTAAGAACCAAGAAAATTATCTCCTAAGAGTGATTGCAAAATCACTTTAAATCCTCATGACACCAAAAATATGGGAAGAAAGCTGTTCTCAGTTCTACCCATTTACTAACTACACCATTTAACCCCCAAATTCCACCATGTGGAACTTCAGCACACAGTACCCTAGAGTTCCTTCACGTCTGGTTGGCTTCTGAAATGAGCATGGTCACCACACTGTGGTGAAGTACCCTGAATGGATCAAGGCTAGACATCAAAAAGTGTTTATTACCTGGACTCTGTCCCTTCCTGGTTATTGTGATTTCCCAGAGGAAAAACTCAAAATCTCCGAAGAACTCATCCTGAGCCGAAAAGACAATTTTTAACCTGTCCCTCCCCTTGGAGGTATACTCCTAAACTTCCTTTAATTAGCTGTTTCCTTTCCCAACAAAGAATTACCTCCTAATAACTTTTAACTTAAGTGAGAGAGCAGTTTAAGAATTAAGTAAAATGGGCTATGAAGCATATAATTCTATGACTTTGCGGGCACTTGGTAGGTGCTAGTTACCTTTCTCCTTCCCTTAACTTCTCTGACAGTTTTCAATGTACCTGCTATATACCAAGCACAGAGCGCCTCATATCTTAGTGATGGGGTTGTAATATGCAAGGCGATCAGGGGCAGCCTAGCTTGGGAGGGGTGGATTGTTGTTTCCTTCCCCAACCTACGACTTATGTGTCATTGACATTAAGACTTCCTCCTCAAACTTAAAGTGTCAGTTTTGCTGATTCAAACTTTAATGTATTTTATGTTTAGGTGTTTAAGAGTAACTACTTTTAGGGACCAGCCCCGTGGCTGAGTGGCTAAGTTTGCGTGCTCCGCATCGGCGGTCCTGGGTTTTGCCGGTTCGAATCCTGGATGTGGACATGGCACCACGCATCAAGCCATGCTGAGGTGGCATCCCACATATCACAACTAGAAGGACCCATAACTAAAAATACACAACTATGTACCTGGGGGCTTTGGGGAGAAAAAGGAAGAATAAAATCTTGAAAAAAAGTAACTGCTTTTATAGTTCAGATTAATTAATAACTCAGAATAATTCATTAAACCAACATGAGCCCTGTTGGCTGCCCTATTGTTGAATCAAAACTCTCCTGGGGCTGTTTGTCCGTTTGCTTTTCGGCTTATTCTTTTCTTTCTTCCTTTCTTTTTCCCTTCCTTCCTTCTTTCCTTTTGCTTTTATTCCCTTTTTTAAAATCAAATATTTATGACCTGGCACTTAATAAATGTGTTTGGAACTTGTTCTTGGAACCATGAGGAATACAAAGGTGAATAATTACAACTTTCTGTCTGCAAGGAAGTTACAACCCAGTGAGAGAAAGACGTGTACACAAACAAGGCCTATAGAGGAAAATGCAAAATAAGTTAAAATGGCATGAGGTGTAGAGGGACAGTAATGAGATCAGTGATTGCCAAGAGCTAGGCATGGGAGGAGGCAGTTGTCTACAAAGAGACACAAGGGAACTTTTTTGGTTTGATGGAGATACTCTATATCTTCATTGTGGTGGTGGTCAGTTACTCAACTGTATATGCTTGTCAAAACTCAGGACTGTTCTCCTAAAATGAGTGAATTTAACCGTATATAAATTATACCTCAATTATGAACCTGACATTAAAAAATGATGTGAGATGGAAGTACAGAGGAGGGAAACAATTCCAACTCAAATTGTTGAGAATGCTTTCATGAAGGAGTTGCTATTTGAATTAGGCCTTGAAAAAGAATAAACGTTTGATCTTTGGCAGAAATGGGGGAGAGGGAGCCATTTATCCTACAATGACCTACAAAGGAACGTGAGCATAACCCTAGAAGTGTGAAGATGCACGTGTGTTTGAGGAACAGTGAATACAGGTTCCATAGGGCATGAGCTGGGAGATGTTTAGGTTCAGGTGAGATCTTGGGGAGCCCCCGGTGCCTACGAAGGAGTTCCAACTTTATTCAGTAGCAGGAGAGAGTCAAGAAAAGTTCTGAGAATGAAAGCAAGGTGTTCTGCTCAGTGTTTTAAAAGGAGCACTTTGGGGTTCTATGGAGACTGGAGGAAGGGAGATGAGCTAAAAGGTAGTTACATTCATTTAGGCAAGACACGATGTGCCCTGACCTCGGGCGGCTGCGTCATGAATGGAAAGAGGGGAGAGTCCAGAGAGGAGGAGATAGAATGTGAAGGTACGAGGGAAGGGAGGACCTAAAAGTGACCCAGAGATATCCAATTTACCTGCCAGCGTGGGAACCAAGGCCCCAACCAAGTCAGAGAACAGGGGACCAGGGGCTTGGAGTCGGGTAGAGAAGGAGCAAGATGGACAATGCCATGCAGTTCGAGATCAGGGTTAAAGCCGCCTTGGCATGGAAGTACTAGGACTACCAGAAATTGTCCTTCTGTCCTTCTGAATCGGCACAAAAAATAGAAGCCTGTCAAAGACAAAGCTATACACTAGTTGAATCTCTAAGCATAGACTTCATTCAGTAACAACTGTTGCAATAGGGAAGAGGGCCCAGTGGGAACTGAACTCAATGTCGCTGAAACAAAAGATAGACTTTTTTAAAAGCTGGGATGAGCTAAGGGAAAGGCATTGAGGGATGTTGAGGAGGTTGGTCCACGTGACTCGGTCATCTGGGTTTGTTAACTGGCACTATCTGGAAGACCAACTTTCTGCATCTTTATGACAAGAGGCAGTGGTGCAAGTTAGCGCAAGGGGCCCACTGGGCTGGGAGTGAGAGTTCTCTCCTTGAATGTTTGCATTTCAAAGAGACTGGAAGCAGGAAAGGATTTCTAACTGCAAGCTTTCTAGAGTCACTGCTCTGAGAAGGGGTCCTGGAGCCTGTCTGCCTATCACCAGGTTTTGGCTGGAACAAACAGTAAACTCTCCAGGCAGAGTTGAGCTTTCTCATGGAAGCATCTTAAGGGGGGCTGGGGTCATCCTAAGAATGTGGCCTTGAGCTGTTAGAAACTGTCCCCATGGTAGTTCAAATCTCAGTGTATGGGGTTGGGGGTAGACCAAATCATTTGTGCTGAGAGTCTGTAGTTTTAGAGGCGACAGTTGAGACCTCGTTGAGAATAGGGCTCCAAGGAGCCTGACCAGAGTTTGGCCAAGGAGAGGGTCTTGTGAGGACAGAACTCTGGATTTAAGATGTCCAGCGATTGTGTGAGAAACACCCCTTTATTTCAATGTCTCCAGAGTGCCACATTCAATCTACAGATAGGAGGCAGCAGTGGTGAAAAATCTTAGGGGAAATTGTAAAGTTCAAAAATGTTTCCAGAACTCAAACTTCCCGGTCAGCACTACCTGCTCCATACCCAACCTGACCCCAAGCATATGCTCTCAACACACACTCACCTCATCCCCACTTCACTGTAAGGTGTTTTCCGCTCCTGCTCTAGCTCTCCCCGCCTCTTCCAACATACAGAAGATCCCCTATTGCCTTAGGGGTGAGAGGTCCTTTCGAGGTGAGCTCACCACTCCTTCACCTCTGCTTTCTCCCTCCGAAACAGGAAGGTGGAGAAGATGTAGACTCTTGCCTCCTACACCCTCCATCCAGTCCCCTTCTCCAAGACTTTCAGCTCAGCGGCATTGGGCTGCACCTCCTGTTGCACCGAAATGGGATGGGAATCAGAGAACACTGGTGCAGTAAACCTGGAGAACATTTACTAAAGAACCCTTGATTCTTTTTAAACAAGAAAGCTAAGCCCTGTGGGTGAGTTAATGACACAGCAGGAGTAGAACCCATGTTTCCTGACTCCCATTCTAGTGCTCTTCCCATTGCCCTTAAGATTATTCGGTCAGGCCCCTGGGAAAGAAGTGTCAGAGAGTATTAAAGAGAGATAATTGCCTTACCAAGCCGACCATGTTTTTAACACAATAGAAGAAATGAAAACCAGAAGAGCACTGTACTCTGTTCAATATTTGCTCTCTGGTACCCCCAACAGTGCTCCGAAAATTCCCAGAAGCTAGTACCATCTTCTATGTATTCTCCTCTCAGAATCCTACATATTCCTAAGGACCCAATGCTAACCACAGCCTTCCTTGTCCACATCAACCTGAAGTGGATGATCTTTGTCCTCTTACTTACCTCATCTGTTTTTTTAGTGCTCATTTAATGCCTCATACAAAGCTGTCCAATTCAGAAGCCACGATCCACATATGACTATTTAATTTAAATTAAGTTAAAAATTCAGTTCCGTTCCTCAGTTGCACTATCCACATTTCAAGTGCTCAACAGCCACATATGGCTAGTGGCTACTATTAGACAACGCACATTATGGAACATTTCCCTCATCACAAAAAGGTCTATTGGACAGCACTACATACAATTAGTTATAATTTTTTATGTACATGTTTTATTTTCCAGTGAGACTGTGAGCCCTTTAGGGACCACACCTTATCAAACTCTATATCCCTTTCCTACCAGCAATCTTAGCACAGCGCTTTACACTTAATAAATATCCAACATATTCATTGATTGGGTCTTCAGGAAAGAATTCCCTTATTCGTCAGCTCTCATATTACTTAAAAGTTTTTGCTTTTCCTCAGCCACAAATAAAGCTCAGTCCATCTTCCCAGAAAGAGGAACGGTGCATTGAAGCCTAACAGATAAGAAATGCCTGTCCATCCAGGCGTGGTCTGCAGGAAAAAGGGCAAAGGAAGGGACTGGCTGCCATGTACTACGCCTGCCATACATTCCAGACTCCAGGCCTTTGATCCTCTGAAAAGAACTTCTGTCTGAATGCCTAGTTCCCTGACTTCTACCTCCCAGGGAGTTGTTCCCAATTTGAAATATTCCTATGAGGTCAGGGTGCTGCCAAGGCCACGTGATGTTTAGCAATTGGCAAGGGGTGGGGGGTCGGAGGTATGTTGAATAAAATCAGCCTGAAAATTCCCTAAGTAGGTCTCAGAACCATTCTAGATAGCCTGGGCTCTGGGTGACAAAGGACTCAGCTAGCCATTCTGGACCTGTTTCACGGTGTACCCCCAACAGCCTGGCCTTCCTCAGCTCTCACCTGCCGACCTCATCTCCATCTGGAGGGCTTTTGGATTTAGTTACTGAAGCCTAATCTCTCCTGGAAATCCACCAAGAACTGAACCACCCTTGGATATGTTCAGTCCAGTATTTTCTTCCCTAACATCTTCTATTGTTTTCTAGTTGTTTTAAGTATAATACTTATACCCTTGGGAGCAGAGACCTCATGCCATCATTGTACTCCACCTTTTTTGAGATGATTAAAGGAAGACGATGTTTGTGAAAGTGCCTGCCTGGAGGAGGCCTCAAAAATGTCAACTCCCGGGGCTGGCCCAGTGGCGCAGCAGTTAAGTTCGCATGTTCTGCTTCTTGGCGGCCCGGGGTTCACCACTTCAGATCCCGGGTGTAGACCTGGAACCGCGTGGCAAGCCATGCTGTGGTAGGCATCCCACATATAAATTAGAGGAAGATGGGCATGGAGGTTAGCTCAGGGCCAGTCTTCCTCAGAAAAACGAGGAGGATTGGCAGATGTTAGCTCAGGGCTAATCTTCCTGGGGGAGGGGCAATGTCAACTCCCTCTGCCCCTGTCTCCCTCCCCGGCATCTAGCCTGGAGCCATGCCTCCTTTTTTGTTCCTCCAAGTCTTGCCCATTCTAAAGATGCAGTTTAAAGTCCCTTTTCTCTCCATGAAGTCTCTTCTGACCACCTAGTGGGAAGTGATTCCTCTCTCGTTTGAAATTCCACCACCACACTAGGAGACCCTCACCACTCAATTGGCATAAGTATTGTTAGTTACCCTTCCGTGTATGCTTCTTGAGGACTTTATACTTCTTTGTGTCTCTAGGGCATAGCCCATAGCAGATCTTCTATGAATATGTAGGGTTTGATTTGTTTGTAATATTGACAAGTATATATATATTTTTTTAAGATTAGCACCTGAGTTAACATCTGTTGCCAATCTCCTTCCATTTTTTTTTTCCTTCGTCTTCTTCTCCCCAAAGCCCCCCAGTACATAGTTGTATATTCTAGTTGCAGGTCCCTCTGGTTGTGCTGTGTGGGATGCCACCTCAGCATGGCCTGATGAAGCAGTGCCTTGTCTGCACCCAGGATCCAGACCAGTGAAACCCTGGGCCTCCAAAGCGGAGCACACGAACTTAACCCCTTGGCCACAGGGCCAGCCCCAGGACAAAGGCTTTTAAAGTGGCTTTTAGAAAATATTCATATATCTTAAAGCACTTTACACAGTACCTAACATGTTTTAAGTGCTGAGTAAATGTTGAGTGAGTGAAGTTTCCAGATAAGCCCTTTAGAAAAGCAAATCACAGTCATCTGGTCACTTATATTCTAGTATGTATATAACAGTGATGAGCCTATATCAACCACACCATTGATTGACAAATCTCAGTGATGACTCTTCTTATGGAGCATGTCCTAGTGCTGCTGCCATGGCACCACTTGTGGGCGTAGCACCATAACCTTCTTCACAACATCACTCAAGTTTCAGCTGATGCTCTTGTACGGGAGGAAAAAAATCTTTTCCTCTACCAGTCATACGTTCATTTGCTTGTGCCCTATAAATTAAACTGATAAAAGACAGATTAACAAGAGAAAAACAAGTTTATGAACACATGCATCACGCATACCCATGGGAGCACTCAGAGATGAGTAACTCAAAGAGGTGGTTAGAACTTCGGCTTATATAGCGTTTTAAAAGAAGACTAGTAAGTCTTTAGAGATGTGACAAGACAAAGGCAAAGGACTTTGAGTTTCTAGCGGTGGCAAATTGTGGGAAGGTATATATATATGGGGGAACTAACGGAAGATCAGGGCTAGTTAGTAAAGTTTGTTATACAGATTCCTCTGCTGCCATCTCTGGGCTGATAAAGGGCTAGAGTTGTCTCTGATGATTAATATTTGTCCTTCCAGGTAGAGAGGAGAGAGGGGTCCATCTTTACAAATTTATGTCCTGCTTTCAGGCAAATAAGGGGAGAGCGGAGTTTTTCTTACATCTGATCAGCTCTAAATAATCCTTGTGTCAAAGTGGCATATTTTGGGGTGGCATACTCTGTGACCCTTCATACCTCAACCAGCCAAGCCACACTGACACATTATGTGCTGCAAGGAACTCATTTTCACTCACTTCTCAAACAATGGCAACCCTTGTGGACTCCTATTTCACCTAATGGCGATATTACACAACTAGGCCAGGCAAATCAAAATCATGAACTAGCAGATAAGCAGCTATATGACAATCTGAGGTCATCATCAGAGCTCCATGTAAAATCCTGTATGGTTGCATGATAGTCTCTGGAATTGGGTTAAAGCGGAAGGGTGAGGAGCTGTTTCTGTGGCCAAGTGGCTAAGTTCATGTGCTCTGTTTCAGTGGCCTGGGGTTCACCTGTTGGGATCCTGGGTACAGACCTAGCACCAGTCGTCAAGCCATGCTGTGGGGGCATCCCACATAGAAGAACTAGAATGACCTACAACTAGGATTCACAACTTTGTAATGGGGCTTTGGGGAGAGAAAAAAAAAAAAAGAGGAAGTTTGGCAACAGATGTTAGCTCAGAGCCAATCAAAAAAAAAAAAAAAAAGTGGAAGGGCGAGAAAGTGGAATTCACTTTACCACAAGTCTCAGCTAGGAAGTCTCATCAGTAAGAGTTGCCCTTGTACTCCATGAAATCCATCTTGGTCTGTCATCTACTCATTGATCCACTCATTCATTTAATAATTATGTATTAAGTACCTAATCTGCCTGGACATGGAGATAAACCAATGAACAAAACTGACCATGTCTAGGCCCTTATGGAGAATGTAAATTCTCACAAGAGATTTATCAATCAACTACTCTATTTCCTCAAATCTAAGTCATCACTGATTTACATCATGGATTTAATAACAGCTTTTCAGGAAAAAAAAAGAAGAAGAAAAAGAGCTACCACATTAAATATACACATTGATTAGATATTAGCATCAAAATTTACTCCCCTAAAATATCACAAAACAATGTGTGGATATGACAAAACTCAGTTTATTACTTACAAGTTATCTTGCAAATCTTTGTAGCATCTCAAAGGAGGGTAAGAGCAAAACTGGGCTATTTATTAAACTTTGAAAGTCTGGTTGAAGGTGGGTCTTTCAATAGGGGGAGAGGGAAGTCTTAGCATCAGATAATGATCATGATAGTTTAGAACCAGTAGCACAGCAATTGAGACGAGGGGCTCAGAGAGTCTTGGGGTATAAATTGTGATTTGGTGCTTTATTTTGAAGAGTTGGTAGGTCTTTCAAGAAGGTCCTGGAATCAGCAATAAAGTCATTTGTTTGCAACTTTTATCTTCCTTGTCAAGAGCTTGCTGGAACAGTAAAGTTATGCTGATGACAGCTGTAGAACAGTAGTCATGCTCATGTGTAGAGTAAGCTATGGAGATGGTCTCATAAACATGTGAAAACATGCATCTTAGGAGAAAGAAAGTAATTACACAATTAAGGATATGTGATTAGAATTGCAAAATACACTGTGATGGATGAATATAGGGTGCTGTGGGAGCATATAACTGGGGCACCTCACCTAGTCTGCAGAGGTCAGAAAAAGCATCTTTGAGGAACTTGTATTTGAACTGACACAAAAGGATGAGTTTGGCTAGATTAAGAAATGGAGAGGTGGGGGTGGGAGGATGAGATAGCTTGTGCAAAGGTCCCACGGCAGGAAGTAACATGGTATATCTGAGGACTTGTTGCAAGATCAGCAAGGCTAGAGCACAAGGAGTGAGAGGAAAGAGGCACACAGTGGGGGTGGGGAGGAGATTGCTGTCCACTGCTATGCTTCAGAGAGATCTCTTTTTCTGAGATGAAAAACATTTTATGCTCTGAGATCGGAAGACTGCATCCCCAGAATCATGATCTAACATTCTCAAAGCTTTAAAAAGGGTGACAAGTGAGCCTCCATGCTAGACTACCACAACAACATCAGATTCAAATTGTTGCCCAACAGTAGCAAAACCAGTTCTAGACTCTCCTCCTACCTGAGCTCAAACTTGTCATCAAACAGGTTGTCCTGATTCTCATCTAGAGATCTGGCCATGACCAAGAGGCCAGGTCAATTTAAATTAAGAAAGAAGAGTTATTTCCAAGTGTTTGATTTGTAAGTGAGCAAATCAACTTTTTTTTTAATCTGGGATTAAGACTTCTGCTTTATGGTGATTTTTGTTTTATATACAATCATTCATTAATTTATTAAAATACTTCAATAATGTCTACTAGGTACCAGCTGCCATGCTTGTTCTTGAGTAAAACTTGCTCTGAAGGATTCCAAGTAGTTGAGGATGGGTTTAGAACTATGTGGTCAAGTGAAATCCTTTATGCAGGGGCTTCTTTGTTCTGGTTCTCTATCCCCCAAACGACAATGTATTATTATTTCCTGTGGTTTTGTGGGTTCACTGGGTCCAGCTCAGCAGCTCTTGCTTGGTGTCTCTCATGTAATTGCAGTTGTAAGTCAACAGGGACTGTAGTTAGCGGAAGACTCCCCTAGGTGAGACATCCCACATGGCTCACATACCTGGCTGGCAGTTGATGCTGAATGTTAGTCAGGAGCACAGCTGAGGCTGTCACCCAGAGCACCTACATGTGGCTTCTCTATGTGGCCTGGGCTTCTCACAGCATAAAGCCTGAGTTATGAGAGAGAGCAGCCCAAGAGCAAATGTTCCAAGAGGCAGGAGCAGAAGCTGCTGGGCCAGTAAAGGATTATGCCTGGAACTTCCCCAGTGTTACTTCTGCCATATTCTGTTGATGAGAGCAGTCACAGGTCCTTCCCAGATTCAGGGGAATGAAGAAATAAACTCCACCTCTTGATGAGGGAGTGACAAGGTCACATTGCACAGGAGCAATGGCACGGGGTAGGAGACATGACTGCAGTAATCTTTGGAAAGTACAATCTACCATATTGGAATAGTGGTAATGTTTGGACAGAAACTTGGTCCAAAGTTTGGTAAGGCTTGTTACCAAGCCTTATAAAAAGAAGGAGAGGGATGCAAAAGAATACCATGCATGGCTCTTGCCTTTGAGGTAGTTGTTGCTTATGCTATGTTTACAACTGAGAGAATGAGCTAAGGTACTTCCAAAACCACATACCAGTAAGTACGGACAAATGCACAGGCCTCTTCCGCTCAGTGTCAGAAAAGATCTGAAAAGTAGAAACTCTGTGTGAAAACTCAAAGTGAGAGCCTATTTTGTATTATTTAAAGGGAAAAAAGTATAATCAGTTACACATCAACCCCAAACTCCCAATCAATTTTCTAAGTCACAACTAAAACATTAAAACATTGTAAAGCACCTACATATATGTGAAAATCAATTATATTAGGATGCAAAATGCTTAAAACATTTGCTTCCTCATCACCAAATGATTAATATGAATGTTTATAAATAGCTGCTTTGTGTCAAGTACTGTGAAGAATTTGAGATTTTTATCCTACTTGCAAGCTAAGTTAGTCTGCTACAGTTTTGTGGTTGCTGACCAAAGACAAACCCCCTGCGTTAGGGACAAAGGACGATGTATTACTCACAGCAATAGCAATAGCCAGAGAACCATCACTGTCTTGCAATTCCCTGACTCCAGTTCCTACAGATGACACAAGAGCCAGGTGATGCCTGCACATGTGATGGGTTGCATTCCAGGAGAGGAACACTAAACTTAGGAATCTCCAATTTTGTATGATGGGCTGCAAGCAAGCCCGTTGCCCAACCTTTGCCCCAGAGGGAGACATTATCTTTATTATACTGCACAGCAAACAGACCTACCTTCTGCTCTGGAGGGAGACACTATCTCCATCTTCCCAGGCTGTACTCTCCTTGAAAAAAAAGCACAAAACTTTCTTGTTGGTGCCTCTGCTCACAAGACATGAAAAACATGAGAGCGCCATGGAGAACTGTCTCTCAACACTTTTTGGGCAGTGAAATGCTATTTCCTAGATCAAGCAATAGCTGAATTGTGTGCCCCTTTTCTTGACATTTGGCATTTTCAAAATATTTACACCGAATTTTGATGTTTTAGTACTTGTGTTTGTAAAATAGCAAAAGAATTTCCCTGACTATCATTTTATTATTCAGTTTCAAAAGAGAAAGAGAACTGGCAATATACATTTTTCCAGTCACCAATACATTGATGAAAATTGAGGCCATGGAAGGAAATGATGAGGTCACCATCTAACCATCTGTTATTTCTCCATTCGTGCACTCACTCATTCATTTATTCAACAAATAATTATTTAGGCTCTTAGGATTATGGAAGTGAAAAAGACAGCTATGTTCCCTGCTGTCATGGAGTTTATGGTCTAGTGGAAGAGACAGACATTAAACAACTAACTACACAATGAATTGTTTATTAGAATTGGGATAAGTCCTCTGAAAGAGGGGAAGCTGATCTTGCCCGGGGAGTCAGGGAGGGCTTATCTGAACGAGGCAGGTTAAAGGACAAGTACTAGTTAACTAGGCAGTGAAGGGGCAAGACTGAGAGGAGTGAAGAGAGCGAGCATAAGACAGACCCTGAAGATAAAACCTTGAAGATCACCAGTATTTAAGGGAGGGGAGAGGAAAAGAAGCCCACAAAGAAGACTGAAAAGGAAGAGCTAGAGAGGTTGAAGGAAAATTAAGAAAAATTATCCAAAACTTGGAAATGAGGTGAAGAGGGTGACTACGTCCTTTCAATGTCATGGTGAAGCCCATGTTTAACAGGCCCACTCAAGGATGATTTCATTTTCAAGGAGAATGTACCATTGTTTGGCTTTGTCTTTTATTATTAATTAAGAATTGAGACTCTGTAAAACTACTTAATAACATGTTAATATCAGTGGTGTGCTGGTAAACTGGCTGAAGGCAGAGGGGCTAGCTTACAAACTTCCTGAATATTTAATAATCAGCTGGTATGAGCTGGCTCTAGCACACCACCTGGTAACCTCAAAGGTTATGGTTTGTTAGGACATTAACCAATTTTGTCTCCAACCCAGCAATCTTATTCTAAGATTCTTCTTTTTTTAAGGATTACATAAACTCTGGTTTCTCAAAATAGTCTTTGAGCCAGCATTACCATCTTACTGGTTTCCTCATTAATTAATGAATTAATTAAATTTTGACACATTTTCATTTTAGTTTGGGAAAGAGTCATGTTTTTAAACTTTTTTGAAAATTATATTTCGATCCTAAGAGTATAGCTTCTTGGAAAGCAAGGGAATCTTTCATATTCAAGAAGAATGGTGTGTCACAATGAGAAACCACTTGACACCCACTAGGATGGCTGCATCAAAAAGTCAGATACTAACAAGTGTTGACAAGGATATGGAGAAACCAGAACCCTCATACAGTGCTGGTGAGAATGTAAAATGGTGCAGCTGCTTTGGAAAACAGTGTGGCAATTCTTCAAATGATTAAACATAGAGTTACTATATGACCCAGCTATTCCACTAGGTATATACCCAAAAGAAATGAAAACATATGTCTACACAAAAACTAGCACACAAATGTTTATAGCAGCATTATTCATAATAGCTAAAAGGTGGACACAACCCAAATGCCTATCAACTAATGAGAGGATAAACAAAATGTGGTATATCTATACAATGGGATACTATTTATCCATAAAAAGGAATGAAGTACTGATACATGCTGTAACTTGGATGACCCTTGAAAACAATATGTTAAGTGAAGGAAGCTAGTCATCGAAGTCCACATAGTATACGATTCCATTCATATGAAAGTCCAGCATAGGCAAACCTACACAGACAGAAAGTAGATTAATAGCTGCTGAGGGGTGGGTGTGCGGGAGAACAGGGAGAGAGAGGAGTGACAGCTAAAAGATATTGGGTTTCTTTGTGAGGTGATGAAAATGTTCTAAAATTGACTATGGTGATCGCTGCACATATCTGTGAATATACAGAAAACCACTGAACTGTACACTTTAAATGGGTGAATTATATATCAATTAACAAAAAAGGAATGGTGTGGTTCATAGTGTTAAATACTCAGGGAAATCTAATAGGAATAGAATAGTAAAGTGGGAGGTGAGGGAAGAGATGAGTTGGAGGAGTTTTTCAGGAAGTTCGGCTGTGAAGGGCAAGGTAAATGTCTAAAGTGGATGTAGTATTAAGGAAATTTTGTTTTAAAGATTGAAGATGAGGAAATATGTCTAAAGATGTCAGTAGAGAAGGAAAAGTTGGAGAGACAGGAGAGAGGTTCATTGATGGGGTCCCCGAGGCGGCAGCAGTAGGAAAACCCAGGCCAAGTGAAGCGCACCATCTGAGACTGCATGAGGAACACCACTTCGGGTGAAACGGTGGGGGATGGAGAAAGGCAGCTGGGTGTGGAAGCAGGTAGGTTTGTAGGTTGGGTTATAGGAAGTTGAGGAAGTTCTCTGATGCCCTTTCTTCTTGCTGTGAAGTAAATTTGGCCATCTGAGGGAGTGAAGAGGAAGGTGACAGGGGTGGAAGACTGAAGAGTGGAGAAAGTTTGAAATGGTTGCTTCTGAGAATGGGAGAGTCAGTTTGCAGTGATGCAGCAAAGACTACAGTAGGAAGAATCTTATTTAGTTCCTACCCAGCAAGTCCAGACAAAGTTTAATTCATAAATATGTCTGCCAAGATGAACAGGAGAATGATGGATCCCAGGGTCATGGTGGCCTGCTGGAGACTCCTTTTAGGAGAAATAACTTTGGGTTTGGGTCTAGAGACCTGGGTTCTAACTTCAGATAAAACACTTACCTGTTGTGTGGTCCTGAGCAATCAATTAACCTCTCTACGCTTCATTCCTTTTTCCATTGAAATTGTATTTTTCAACTTTTATCTTGAAATAATTTTAAGTATATAGAAAAGTTCCAACGGTAGTACAGAGAGTTCCCATGTACCTTTCACTGAGCTTCCTCTCCTGTTAACATTGCACATAATTATGGCATATTTATCAAAACTAAAATTAACATCGGTGCAATACTAAACTACAGATTTTATTTGGATTTTACCAGTTCTTTCACTAAGATCTATTTTTTATTCCAGGATCTAATTCAGGGTACCACATTACACTTACCCGTCATGTTGCTTCCAATCTATGACAGCTTCTTAGTCTCTTCCTGTTTTTTATGAACTTGACAATTTTGAAGAGTACTGGTGAAGTATTTTATAGAGTTTCTCTCCATTTGGGGTTTATCTGATGTTTTCTCATGATTAGGCTGGGGTTATGAACTTTTGGGAAAAGATTCACAGAGGCGATGTGCCCTTTTCATCAACGTGACCTATTACTGATGATGTTATTCTTGATCATTGGTTAAGGTGGTGTCTCCCAGATTTCTCCATTATAAAACTGTTACTTTCTTTTTTCCATACCCTGTTTATTAGAAGTCAGTTCCTAATTTGAGCGTATACTCATGGAGAGGGAAATTCTGTGTTTCCATTTTTAATCTTTTTAATGAAGAAGTTTAGCCCCCACATTCTATGATTCTAGGGTCTTTTCCATAGTGGTACAATTTAAGGGGAACCAAGAAGTTCCCTAACATTAGTCATCTACCTATCCTAGCCTGTGCTTGAAATTCCAGGAGTAATGAGGTGTTCCTTGGGGTTTTGTATCACGTACTTTCTGCAGGTCTTCTTTCAAAATGCAATTATTTCTGGGTGAATCAGCACCATCTTCTTGGTATCTTGTTGGGGTTTTGGATTTAAAAGGATCCTTGGAGGCCAAATAGTGCAACCTCCCATACCAAGTGAAAACTTTCTTCTTTTGTTTATGCATGTGTAACCTGAAATACCTATTGGGTAGTCCTTGCTCTGGCCCTTTGCCCCACTGAGACCAGGGAAATGATTTATTTCCTTACACATATACCCAAAAAATTACTCCCAAAGCATTGTTGAGTAGTCTAGATTTCATGGATATTTTCATGGGGAGACTAAGCCAAACAAGACAAAGTTCCCATTAGACATCTCTGTACTCTCTCTCAAACCACCCTCCTCAACTGATCAGTTCCTTATCTCCTTCCACAACCTGTCCCCTACCCCACTTCCCAACCCCTGTATTATCCCCATCAATAAGCACTCAGCATCTCTCACGAGTAAAACAAAAACCCAAAGCTGATTAGATGGCCCCTGGGGAGGGTCTAGCCCAGCCTGTCATATCTGGGTCATACCTTTTTGAGACAAAAAACTAAGAATTCTCTTCCCAAAGAAATGCACATATGCACTTTCACCAGCAGCTTGCCAACATCTCTGGGGGCATCACTGGACTCTCAAAGCCCATCCTTGAACCCCCCAGTTTCCCACTGCTCCACTGCATTCCTGAAAGCTGGTCATCCACCTCCTGTCTGGGAAATGGAGTCACTAAGTAAGTCTGTTCTCTGGAGTGACAAATAATAAATCAAATCCCCTTCCATATGACAGATTTTCCTATATTTGAGGACTGTCATCATAACTCTTTTTGGTCCTCCTGTTTTTCTAACCAAGTAGCCTCATTTTCTTTAGTTATTTCTTCATGTGATATGTTTGCATAACTGTCACCAGCCTGGGCACTCCTCACTGGATATAAGACCAGTTCTCAGAAGCTTTTTAAAATGAAATATCCCAATGAGATGCTACTTCACATCCATCAGATTGGCAAATCTGACAGTACTGATTGTGGCAAACAGCTATTGGGTAAATAAATTGAAGGGTATGTCCATCCAATGGAATACCATACACCAGTGAAAACGAATGGACTAGGGTTACATGTGTCAATACAGATAAATCTCACAGAAATAATGTTGAGCAAAGTTGTAGAAGGATACACATAGTATGATTTCATTTATATAAATACACGGAAACCATCTATGTATACGTAGTTTGACTTTTTAATATAAATATAAAAATACATGGGAATAATAAATACCAAATTTGGGATAGTGGGGCCCTCTGGAAAGTGGGAGGGAGATGAAATGGGAAAGGCAAACAGGGGGCTTGAACTACTGGCATTGTTTTGCTTCTTAAGTTGGGTCGGGATACCCAGGTATTTCTGGTATTGATCAAAATGTAAAACTAAATAAAAGTGGATCCAAGATTGGCAATATATATTAAAAGCTTTAAAATTGTTTATATTCTTTCATTTGCTTGTTCCTTTTGTAAGAAATTTTCCTAAGGAAATAATAAAAAACATATACACATACTTATATATACAGACAGTTGTGATGGTTTTCTTTATAAAAGCAAAAAAAACAACCAAAAACCTAAAGGCTCATCTCTAAGGGTTTAGTCAAAGATTATGTTCCATTCAGAGGCTGAATGAATACAACGTAGCCACCAAACATTTTGTGTTGGGAGAATATTTGGTGGCATGGGAAAGTGCTGACTACTTACTATAGTTTTTTAAAGGATGTCACAGAGTAATATTTACTGCATGATTTCAGTTAAAAAATGAAAATATATGGACATGGAAAATGGACAAATTGTGACATATTCCTGAAATGCAATATGAAGTGGCAATTAAAAGAAATTAATTAACCTTCATGTATCAGCTACCGTCAAAATTATAAAGCTGAGTGAGAAGTGTTAGAAAATGATACATACCATAAGCTACCATTTATAAGAAGATTTAAAACACACAAAATTGATTATGGACATGTACTATTTATAAAATACTTAGAATAGTACCTGGCACCTAATAAGAATTTGTGACAGGTTATATTTTCCGAGATGGCCACAATAAGATTTCCCATGCTACATGATCTTCCTACAATGTGACATTTATATTCCTCCCATCAAGAGGTGTGGGAAGGTTGTCTATGTCCTCTCTTCTTGAAGCCGGGTGGGACCATTACAGCAGAAATAACACCATGTGACTTCCAAAGGTAGGTCATAAAAGACGATCCAGCTTCTACCTGGTCCTCTTGGAACATTCTCTCCTGGAATCCAGCCACCATGTTAAGAAGCCCAGGCCATGTGAAGAGGCCACATGTAGGTGTCCCAGCTGATGGCCCTAGATGAGATCTTAGCCAACAGCCAGCATCAGCCACCAGATCTGTGAGTGAGGAAGCCTTCAAGACGACTCCAGCTCCAGTCTCCATCTGACTGAAGCCTTGTGAGAGAACCGCCCATCAGCCTCATCAACCCACAGGACCGTGAGAGATAATAATACAATTATTGTTGTCACTTTGAGCCAGTAAGTTTTGGGGTGATTTGTAATGCAGCAATAACTGACTGATACAGTGTTACATGAGTATTT